CCCCCCCCCCCCCCCCCCCCCATCCCCCCTACGGTTATCCTCCACCACATTCCCTCCTGCCACACCACCCGCAGGTCGACGAGGTTGTGTTTCCCGGCATGACGAAGCGGTTTCGGATCTTCGAGCCGAGGTACCGCGCCCTGGTGAAGCAGTGCCTCGCCGAGGACGAGCCCCTCGCGATCCTGCCACTTTCGAGGGGCGGGAACACCGTCGCCACCACCGCAAGGGTATCTGGTCTTCACAACGTTGAGGCAGACGGAAGGTGCGCGTGAACACGGCGGGGGGTGGGGGAGCTGGATTGCTTCACACCACACGACACGCAAAGATGCCGCCGAGCTTGGATTGTGCATCAGTGCCAGATCAAATATGTACACACCCGTATGTGGTGTATGTGGTGTGTCCTCAGCAGTGTTTTGTGCTTTTTGGTAGTGGTGGGACTATTGGCGTCAGATTCACGCAGAGACGGCAGGATACCGTGTACGGGACTACGGCGTGCCATCGCTTGGACCATGCACGCTGCAGGTACAACCTCGTCTTCGTTTGTTCAATGCACGGTAGCTTTCTGCTTCGTTTGATTCTGCGCCGTCAGAGGCTTGCATCGCCCAACAACGGAGGGTTGTTGTTGTTGTTGTTGTTGTTGTTATTGTTATGGTTGTTTCTTGTCCCATTTGGTGCGAAGAACGTGTGTCCTCACTCGCTGGCGAACCCCGAAGAAGCCGTTCGATCGGACTCATCGAACACACACACACACACACACACACACACGCCGCCGCCGCATTCGTCCCGCACTGTGCGTCACCCCCCCTCTTCTACCGCACCGCCAACACCAATCTGCTGCGCATGAACCAGATGCGAGGTTGAGATCACCGGAATCGCTCGGTGTAGCGTCAAGACGATGTGGATGAAAGGGGAGAGCTTTGGGCTGTTCGAGGCCGTGGTCGAGCTCTTCGGCGACGAACAGGCCAAGGCAGAGGAGGAGGCGGAGGTAAACACGAGGACGGCCTCCGAGCGGCCCCGGGACGCAACCCCGGACGCTGCGGGCGACACGTCTGGCCAAAAAGGTGCGGGCGTAGTGTGGCTTGGGCCCTGGGTGACTAGCTGTGAACCGGGTTCAATGCTGATGTGGCCGTTTGTTTGTCTACCTGTGTGTTTATAGCGAACGGTAGGATTCGTTCTTGCGCATTCGTTGCGGTGCACTTCGCACTCGAGACGCCGCCGTAGCAGCAGCAGCAGCAACAGCAACAGCAGTAGTGCACAAGGCAAGGACCTACCGACAACAACTGCGAGCAACCACGCCCGCATATGTTCTGAAATGTGAAATTTGTTTTATCCTGCCGATAGTTTTGCCTTTTTTTCTAACCATAGCCGATTCGTTCTTTGCTCTTTACCCTCTCGCGCTTGCTTGCTGCTGACATCGCAGAGGCCACTGGCGGCAATGAAGGTGGTCGGAAAGGAGAGGGTGCGGGTGGAGATGGCGGCGACGGGGAGGGGCTGATGGCAGAGCTGCCGGAGTTGGAGCGGTTGCGAATAGAGGTGAGGTTCGTATTTTATTCGGACGTTGACGGGTTCGCTTTTCGTGCGTCGCACCCCAGACTCTAGACGGCAGGCGTGTGGCCAAAGACACAGGAAGAGGGGGGTTTGTTTGGTCGCATGGTCAGAAACGTTCTGAGAAACGTTCTGAGAAACGTTCTTGTTGGTGAAGCCGACGACGACAGCAACAGCTACGTTCAGGCGCTGCCGTCCTGCTGCGTGGTCGGATCAACCCATGGCCACACACGCTCGCGCGTCTTCGTTTCCCTGGCTTGCTTCTCTCGATTTATTTTTTTCACCACCCCCGTTCATGTCCACCGTGATTCCTACGCTGTCACGTTCGCCCCATGTATAAACAAATCCACCCTTGGGGCAGGTGTCCGCCATCATGCAGAAGGAGTTGTACCGCACCCGAACACGGGGTCGCTCCCCGCTGTGGCCAGGCTGGGACGGGTCGGTCTCCCACGGCGACGCCCAGGCGGCCCTCACGGTCGCCTCGCCGCCGCTACCAACCCCCCCCACTATCAAGACCGCTGACGATAGCTTCGAAGCCGCCGCGAGCAGCGGCAGCGGCGACTGCTCCATCAATGCCGTTGGCGGCGGTGGCGGCGAAAACGACACCGTTGACGGCAACGGCGGCGGCGGGATCGGTGTTGGAGACAAGAGCAGTATCGGCGGCCTTGACCCGTGCGACCTCAACGCGGAAGCCCTGAGCTACTGGGCGGCACACAACGTTGAGGCCGGCGCCCTGATGAAGCACGAGTGGCTCTCGTCCACCAGCACGTCGGCGCGGCTCAGGGGCGTCCGAGACCTGTGCAGGTTTGCGCTGGCGCGGCACCGGGACCGGAGCGCTGTTGATGGGGGCGTGCTTTCCCGGCCGCTTTCGGCGTTGCGCGACCTCACGTCGAGATAGAAGAAGAAAAGCGTCGCAGACGAGCGAGGTGGAAGCATGTGATAGCCTTAGGGGAAGCTCGAGCTTTGGGTGGCAAGGGAGGCAGCTATGTAGTCCCATTTGCTACAAAGGTATGAAACCGGAGAGGTGTGCATGTCTGCCCCCTTTGGTTGCCGTGTTGTGGGGGCGGCGGCGATGGCGGCGTCCCGTTTTGTTTTGCCGCGCTTACAACAAGAACGTTTGCGGTTTGGTGGTCGGCCGGGGTGCTTGCTTTCGGGGCGTCGTGCGGCTGTGGTGATGTACAAAACACGTTTTGTGGTGCGGGTTTTGGCTGCGGGGGGTATTTGGGCTAGGGAAGCCGTGAAAAAAACGTGAAAAAACTCACACGCGCCACTTCCGTCCTCGCCCCAGATGCCATAGAAACGCCCTTTTTTTGTTCTCTTGGATTCAATGTGGTTCGGTTTTTGTCTAGCGCGCGCCCCTCCCGTCAATCGACACGAGCAGCCCTTCGTTGTGTTGGTTTTTGACTTGAAAGCATGGTGCGGGAAAAAGGTGGCCCCATCGATGTACTGTACACGGTTTGGCTGGGATACCCCCAGGTGCGGGTATACATGTGTGGGATTCCAGCCGGTCTTTTTATTCTTTTGTCGTTGGGCAACACTCCCATCGATGGCTGAGTGTTTCTTGGGGTGGCATCGTTGGTGGTGCCTACTCGTTTCTAGACAGTTGACCATGAATAGACAAAAAAACCGAAAGGCATCTTGAGGTCCGCCTGAACCTCGACGACTCAATACACAGCAGGGGGGCTGTTTGCCCTCCAGCAGCACAGACGTCTCTTAGCGCCATAGAGGAAGGGGGGGGGTATTGTTTTTTTCTTCACTATGTTTTTTCTCGCTCATATTTCCGTGGCTAGATAGTGTCGCAGGATGCAGCTGCGGGTTGGGAAGAGCCTGCCGCCTGAAGATGACATCACATGCCACCGGAATCGTTTCTGGAGCGACTTTTCCTTGTGCTGGGTATTTCTGCTATTCCTCGAGCCGTGCCTCTCGCCCAGATGGGAAGCAGCCACGCCGGTTTTTGGGCAGTAGAGTTATTAGAGGGATTTTCAGGAGATGAGAAAGTTCGCCTGACCTGCGTCATTTTGTTCATTAGCGGCTCAGTCGTCTATATGTTTGATACGTTGGAGTCATCATTGTTCCCTTGATATTGTATTCCGCTGCCGTGTGGAGGACAACGGAAGCCTCTCGGGCTTGTCCATTTTGCAAGCGGTATCGTAGACCCGTGTACGGACCTGTTTTGTACCATTGTCAGCGAACACTTGGCCAGTCGCAATACTGCCGCTCCATGCCTAATATAATAGCGCATGGCGGCATTATGTGCTTGGTGCGGTGCCTGCCTGACAGGGGAAACCCCGACTTGGTTCTGTCCACCTGTTCGGGATGAATACCTCGCCTTGGTGTATAGCAGTGCGCCGCCGAAAGTTTGGCTGTGCCCCTACGCTGGGAATAGGGGTAGGAGTGGCCGTGCTCTGGCTATGCCGATGCCTATGGACGGTTGACTGGGGAGACCTGGTACTTACAAAAGCCGTAGAGCGTCTCGACGCCGTCTGTGCATGACGTAACGCCCGAGCATTATTGTGTTGTTGTCAAGATGACAAATCAAGTAGGGCAAGAGGGGCAAAGAGTATGTTGGACAGTATCCGCCCTGGCTCCGGCCTGACGCCAAGAGAGAGAGAGAGAGAGAGAGATTGTAGTGTTGGGGGTTGTGTATATTTTCCCGGGTCAAATTTTGCATGTATATACCACGTGACAGAGGACAATAAAACACAAGTCTACCACACCCAAAAAGTATCTCGGGAGTACGCACCGGATTTTTTGGTGGCGTTTTCGGGGGCACGCCGAGTCGTAATGCCTCACGCCGTCAATTCGGGGGGGGGGGGAGGGTGGCACCCCCGCAGGTGGGTTGGGCTATATTAGTTGTGGAACGTCCGCGGCGGTGCGCCAATAGCTGGTGTCCGATAAGCACGAGACTCTCTCCCCGGAAATCGAGTTTGCCACAGACGGAACACCGGCGGAAACGCAGCGTGTCTGCGTCCCGTCCCCCTTACGAACACGGAATCAACCACGGGAGCATTACCACAACACGGTTTCCGAAGTCTCGCATGGTCACCCCATCCAACCCTTAGCGTAGCAATCGCTATGCCTCTTCTCGTGGACCCAACCTGAAATAAGGTATGTATAAGAAGACAAAATAAATGTCCTTTCATATTTCTATTTGAGATTTGTTCCGAGGTGTCCAAGGAACGCCTTCATCCTGTTGTAGTTGACGTTGAGGTCGCCCTGCCCCACTCTCAGCTCCGACTGCACCCACACTTCTGTCGCTCCCGTCTTGTTCTTGAAGATTTTTACCTGCCGGAGTGATTAGTGTTATGGGGTCGCATTGAACAAAGGCAGCGCTACTCTCCAATTCATCCGTCATTCGAAGGAAACTGAAAAATTCCAAGTTTTTCAGGAGTGAACGGTATTGATTCACCTTTCAACACCTTGTCTGCGGGGCAAACGGTAGATATAACCTTGGGCGGGGAGACATACATATATATCTTATTTGAGCTGTGTTCCGAGGTGTCCAAGGAACGCCTTCATCCTGTTGAGGTTGACGTTGAGGTCGCTCTGCCCCACCCTCAGCTCCGACTGCACCCACACTTCTGTCGCTCCCGTCTTGTTCTTGAAGATTTTTACCTGTCGGATATTTTGAGGGTTAGGTGCCGCGTACTGAACAAGGGCTTGGCTACTCTCCAATCCTGCCGAACGACTCGAAAATTCCAGAGGTTTTGTTTGGTAGGTAAAAGAACAAGTGATCGGTATCGATCCGCTGTTAAACGACTTCTCGCCAGAGAAATTCTTCAACAATCGAAACTTACCCCCACGCTATCGGGGAAGCCGAACAACAACGACAGGCTCTTCGCGTGCAGGTAGCCCGGCGTGTCCGTCTCGATCGTGGTGCGAGGTTGCGATTCGAGCCATGCTTTGGCCACCCCCTGAGCGCGCAAGTACACATGAAAGCGAAAATGCAGCAGCAACGTGAGCCTTATAGAGACGGGGGGGGGTGTACTCATAGTCGTGTATGCCGTAGTCGTTAGACCATTGACCTCGCATCCCTACAAAGCCGGGACGGAGCACGCCGGGTTCTCACCGGACCAGGCTCTCACATCACCAAGCGCGAAGCGCCGTGAGGTATTCGGCGAGTCGCATGAAGGGTGAGCTGCATCCTGCTAAGGGTGTTCGGCATCTTGTGCTTACTTCCTTGCGTACGGATGACAGCTGCGTATGACTTAACTTATTTTCTGGTGGTGCTTTCACTTCCAGAGATAGTTATAAGCACTGTGTAACTGCCTCGAGGAAGCTTGACCATTTTAACACAACGTGGTGCGATCATCCCCCTTGCGCGGAGCGAGGTTTCTCCACCCCGCACAACATGATCTACTCGACCACCATTATGGTTACCGCCAAAAAAAAAAACAGAGGTACAAAAAAAAACGTTAACCTGGTTGCCGAGTTCGCGAAGTGAATTGGCTTCTTTTACAACGTCGTTGCCAAGCGACGAAAACCCAATCCCGATGGCAAACACCGAGGGGGGGGCTTGTTTTACAACGTCGTTGCCAAGCGACGAAAACCCAACCCCGATGGCAAACACCGGGGGGGGCGATGCGGGGGGGGGGGGGGGGGGGCAAACGGAAAAACACCACCGTTTATAACCCCCCGGGGGGAAGCCTGGATTTTTGGGAGGGGGGGCCAGAAAGTTGGGTTTTCCTTTTTCCCAAAGTTGGTTCAAGGCCCCGGAAACACCAAAACCCCCCGTGGTTTAACCCCCCCCCCCGGGACCAAAAAAAAAATTTCCGCCTCTTTCCCCCTGGAAGAAAAAAAACCCCCAAACGGGGACGGGGGAAAGGGCCCCCCCCAAAGGGGGCCAAAACCCACACCCTTAAACCCCACCCCCCCCCGAAAAAAAATTGGGCCCCCGAAATTTATCCCCCCCGGGCTTTAAAAAAAGGCCCGGGAATCCCCTTTTGGCCCCCGGCTCGGGCAACCCGGGGGAAACCTTCGGGGGGGGGCTGAAGGAAACCGGAACCCCCCCCTTTAATTCCTTCCCAAAGGGGCAAAAAAAACGGAAGGAAAAAACTTTAAGAAAA